AAGGTGGGGCGCGCGCGGGGTTCTTGCTTCCCTCTCCTTCGCTTTCGTCGACGGGGCGCTCGGCAGCGGCTTTAGCGAAGGACAAGGGATCCGGGATGTAGCAGCAGAACTCTTTGCCGAGGGAGGAAGAAGTGGCCGAGGAAGATACAAAGGCAAGCACACATGAAACGTAATTTGAGAGAGCAGATCAACCAGGAGGCCCTTAATCTGTGCGGAGGAGACTGTGCGAAGTACACACACACACCCCTTGTTTCTCCTATAGCACACACCTCCCTGGGCATCGAAGATGGAGTTTTCTTCCTTTCTTGTGCTGGAAAAAGACATTCGGACTAAGTGCTGAAATGAACCAGACGGGGAAAAAATTAACGGTGGTACATTTCGTACCTCATTTCTATTCTGCCTTTGTTGTATGCCACTGCTGTTCCCATGACCTGCTGTCTATGGGGCCCCGTATCCTTGGGGGATGGGTTCCAAGCCCCTCAGCGGACACTGAAGAAAGCGATTGTAGCGAACGCTATTATAAAAAAGAAAGGTTTCCATAGCATGATCTTCGGTTCTCTCTAGTGGACAGTTCTGGTCATGACACCATGGAAATAATGTTACTCTAAAAAACGCTATACATAACATTGGCTCTCTTTCGTGGCCAGTTACGGTAACTACATTTCCAGAAATATACATTTCTAGGACTTTTATTTTAGTATTTTCAGACCCTGGATAAATGAATCAGTGAATACTGATCCTGCAGATAATAGGGTCCTACTGTATAGCAATAACGCTAGCTAAATCAAGACAGCTCCTGAGAGAGGATTCCTGAGACTGTGTGGCGTTATGGTTCAGAGCACAGTATGTGGAAGATCCAGTTTTGCGTTTTTACTCAGCCATGAGCCTCACAAGGTGTGCTCCTCCAGACAGGACAGGTCTTCTGTGGATTATATCTGATTGGTTCCCAAAGTTCTTGGGGTTTTTTTTCCAACTGCCATTGAGATGACATCATTTCTGGTTTGGTCAATTATTAATCCAGTTTGGCTGATCACCTTAATACTTTCCCCCTTTCTCTCCTACCCCTTGAGGTTTTGTTTAGTTCTAATTTTTGCTTCTTTTTCCAGTCTGAAACTTACTCTTTTAAAATTCTTTCTCCTTTTAGAACCAAAAGATCCAATGTGTGCATGCTAGAATGCAGAAATGTGTGATGTCGCACTATGGTACTTCATGATTTTTTTCAAAGTTTTTTTCAAAGTTTTTTAAAAGGGTAAACATACAGTATCGTGTGCCAGAGATAGTGGAACAGAGACTCTTTTTCTGGATGGGAGAACATTCAGAACCAGAACAAAAGGACAGGGACAGCAGAAACATCCAGTGTGGGCGCCTGCAGCAGGGAGGAAGAAAGCGGTCTGGATATTCCAAGTCCTTGTCTAATACTCTGAAAAAAAAGATGTGCAGCTTCACTACTAACCTGTAGAAGATTCTGAAAGATGCTCTACACAGGCACAAGGCCTGCCTGTAAACCCCAAGACCACAAAGAAGAATTTTTAGGAACTCACTTAACTAAATCAGTTTCTACTTTGTACTTACTTAACTCACAATGACAGGGATCTTTGCTATTCCATTTTCTTACACAGGCCTAGAGGTGTCGCCTTTATGCCTATCGGTAAAAGGGAATGCACTTTTTCCATTAAAGAAGCTGGAAAGAAATCTGGATGGGCAATCAAACTGTAGAAAGGCGAAAAGTGGACTTGATATTGTAACACAAACAACAGGATTTGATGATAGTATATTTTATGTTCTCATTCTCCCCTCCTTTTTTGTCCATTCCCATTACCTTCTGTACCCCTTACCCTTTTTATTGTTTAGTCGTGTACAACTCTTCGTGACCCCATGGACCAGAGCACGCCAGGCCCTCCCATCTTCCACTGCCTCCCAGAGTTTGGTCAAATTCATGTTGTTAGCTTCGGTGACACTGTCCAACCATCTCATCCTCTGTCGTCCCCTTCTTCT